TCCTTCCTCTTGGTTTCCTTTGTGCACTTAAAAGTCATCATACGAGGTGAACATTTGAAAAAGTCTAGCTTTTCTCCCTGTGGTGAAATATATTTCAACACTGAAAATATTCTTTACAAGAAATAAATTTCCAAGTGTGCATACTGTTAAAACTTCAGTGCCTGGGATAGAGGTTGTCGTGGGAGAGGCCAAGGCACACCAATGGGGAGGTCAGTAACCCTGCAACTTTAGGGAGTCTCACCAGGGAGAGAACAACACAGTGTTCTCATACAGCACCCCGCTGACTCTCATGCTCGGGATGACATCCCAAGCTCTGGGAAGCCCTGCCCCATCTTCTCCCTTGTGCTCGGGTCCCTCCAGGGACCCGGGCAGAACTGCCTTTTCTGCTCTCTCCTGAGAGAAGAACCAAATGCAGCAGCAAGGTCAACTCTTCAGGCTCCCTGGCTCACACTCTGTGCAGCTCTAGCCATCAGGACCCCAGCAAAACTGGGGCCCTTCTACTCAGTGCCCACAAGGTCCCGCCTCCTCCAGTGGATGGAGCAGCATGAGCACCCTCTGGAAGACAGATCCTGGCATCCTCTGCTAACTCTCCCCACCATGCACCATGCCATCTTATCCTCCCAGCCATGCTCCACAGAGATGGGAAGGAGGCTCAGAGAAGCTAGATGCTAAGCCCAAGTGATTAGGTGGCAAAGTGAAGATTCAGGGTCAGATTTGCCTGCCCTGAGTCTCGTGTCCTCACAGGGATTCTCACTTTTTTCATTCCATCAGTCACTTGGTGTCTGGTAAATGTGTGAAAAAAATACATAGGTTACCAATAACCTATAAGTTATATTGAAACAGGTAGGACAAGATCTAATGACAGATCTAAACAGTAGTATCATTTCAAAAGAGATGTGCAGCAGTTGAAATAGGATTTTTAAAATATGTGAAAAGCTATTAATAAGTTTCAAGTCCTCTGCTTTGTGACTCACATTCATAATTGATGGACATGCTAGATGTTAGTGAGGCTTACAGGAAATGTGTACTTCTTCCCCACCCCTTTCACAAGCACATGGCTTCTATCCCAGGCACTGCAGGTGTAAGGAGTCAGGAATGCCTGGCCCGCTAGGGTGCAGAGGCCCTTCAGGGGACCCAGATCAGACTCAAATGTGGGCTGTTGACTGTGTGAGGGGAGGTCAATCCACACTGTCCCAAGGTCTTGGGTTTTATTTCACTGAGGAAGTCGGGGACTGCCAGGAAGGCAAGTCCTGTTACTTAACCCTAGCAAGCCTCCTGCATAAACTGAGGTTGTGGCAAGTGAGGGGTGATGCTGGGGGCCATTCCAATAGCCTGCACATAGCTTGACTGTAGGATAGCTGGTTCTTTCACACTACATGTGTTTAGTGAGAACCCTACTTTGTACCACATACCGGGGAAGCCTAGTGGCTTCCAGCCCCAGGAAGAAGACAGATAAGATAGAGGCCTGACATGGGGCCATGAGATTGGCCTTTGACCCAAGATAAGGTAGTGGTATTGGAGGCTGAGGGTACCAGCCTGGACATGCCCCAACCACACCCAGCAGCAATTCTGCTAGGAAGGAAAAAACGTCCAATGAAGCTTCTGTAATCCTCCCAGTGCTGAGGGGGTGTGGGAATAGCTTAAGGAGAGTGAGTGTTGGGTGCTGGGAAAGAGGCGGCAAGGCGGCGCGAGCCCTCAGCGAGCCTGAGAAGGGCTAGGGGAGCACATTCACTCTCCCCTACATCCTCTCCAGCTTGTTTATCTGACATGGCCAGTAGCGAGGGGGTGGGGCAAGCAAGGCAGAGCTTCTTTGGTCCAGGGGTTTATTTTTATGTCCGTTCATACACAGAACCATAATAGCAACAGCAGACAATTGTAAAATAATTCAATTGAAGAGGCCTTGCAGGGTGGCCTCCCCAGAAAGGGTTCTTGTTCCACAGGTTGGGCCCTAAGGTGGACAGGACTGAAGTACAGCTTGATACCTGTTAACAGAGACTGACACCTTAGAACCAAATTCATTAGAGGTTGGTTCTTGAGAGTGACCAGAACCCACTCCTTCTTGATGTCAGGGGAGCAGGGTGACAGCTTCATTGGTGAACATGGACTCACACAACAAACTGGAGTGCTGAGGCCCAGGTCACCCTCAAACACATGAGTTGTTGAGAGGAACCTTCCATCTCTGGGGCAGGAGAGTAAGGCAGTATAATCCGGTGGAAGAGCAAGAACGAACAGACTGGCCTGGAATGAATTGCAACTAATCATTTAGTGAATTTCTTAATTTCTCTGAGTCTGTGCCCCCCTCTGTAAAATGAGCAGAATCATGCTAGTTTGCATCATTGTTGAAAGAGAGATGATTTCACCCCATGTTTATTGCTGCTCTGTTTACAATAGAAAAGACATGGAATCAACCCAAATGCCCAAAAGTAGATGACTGGATTAAAAAGATGTGGTACATATACACAATGGAATATTACTCAGCAATCAAAAAAGATAAACTCATGCCTTTTGCAGCAACATGGTTGGAGCTGAAAGGTATCATGCTTAGTGAAATAAGCCAGAAAGAACTATAAACCAGACATTTTTATGGAGTGGAAAGGGGAATGGAATAAAAACAGGGGTGGGAAGAGTGCACTGGACTGTGGTGATGGTACACTGGTGAATTGGTGGTGGGAAACCCAGGGGATTACAACTGAGATGAAAAAATGCACAAAATGAAGAATGATGAAAGAGAGATGCAGGAAAGCACCCTGGATCCATCTGATTGTCAATAACTGAGAGCTACTGTTGCAAGTTTCTAATATTCACTTTCTAGAAGCTTGCCAGAACACAACTGTTCCAAGATATCTCACCTAGTTCCTGTCTTCCAGCAGCTGTGACAAGTCTGGCCATGTCCTTTTAGCTTTTGCATCCTGTTTCTGCTCACAGAAAGCAAGCCAGCTAGCAATACTTTAATAGAAAGTGTTTGTTTCAAGGTATAAATTTTCCACGTCCACTTTAATGGTTGGATTCTTTTCTTTTCTTTACTTTTTTCTGACTAAAAAAAAAAAATCCCAGAAACATTTTTTGGTGAATAATATGTTTATTTTTACATCATTTTCTTCCTTTTTCCATCTCAGTTGTAATCCCATTGGACTTCCCATCACCAACTCACCCGTGTGCCATCATCATAGTCCAATGCACTCCTCCTACCCCCATTTTTGATCCCATTCCCCACTCCACCCCCATAAAATGTCTCTGGTCTATAGTGGCTCATTATTATTATTATTTTCTCGCCTGGTCCGTTATACTCCCACTATGAGTGAAACCATCCAGTATTTTTCCTTTTCTTTCTGACTTATTTCACTAAGCATGATCCCTTCCAGCTCCCTCCATGTTGCTGATTAATATTCCATTGTATATATGTACCACATCTTTTTAATCCAGTCATTCACTTTTGGGCATTTGGGCTGTTTTCATGTCTTTCCAATTGTAAGTAAGGCAGCAATAAACATGGGGTGCAGGTGTCTTTTTGAATCAGTGTTTTTGCCTCTTTTGTGTAAATACCTAGGAGTGAGATTGCTGAGTCATATGGAAGCTCCACAGTTAGTTTAAGGAACTGCCAAACAGTTTTCCATAGTGGTTGTACTAGTTTGCATTCCCAATGGCTGGATTCTTTTAATAGTTTCATTGCTAAGAAAATGTTTTCTGATATTAAGAGACTACTGAGAATTAAAGAAAAGTAGCTGTTGTTTGAAATTCAGAACACGTGTTCCATGAAACCATGTTATTCAGGTGGTCAGTGTCCCAGGCTGCCCACTGGCTTAAGGCTCAAACTCTACAACAGAGCTTCTGCGAATCATGTTAAAATGCTGAAATTAATTCAGGGAGGAGAGGTGGACTGATTTTGACATTTCTAAGAGCTGCTGGCGCTGCACATTCGCTGGTCCTGCTGCTCTGGGACCATGGGGAGTGTCCAGGACTGGGTGGGAGAAAGGGGATTACTTCCTGGTGAGAATGTGGGGGAGGTGTTGACACCCACTTGGGACATGGGGTTTCTGATGAGACTTGGGGTTGGGACTATGAAGATGGGGATATGGGAAGTGAGGTCGAGGCTGGTAGCTCCTAGGCACCTCCTCTCGTTTCTCCTCATGGTTTTTTCAGCCCCGCCCTCACCCCCCACCCCCTATGCTTTAAAGATGCCTGGACTAAGGCAAATATAGCTGAGTACCCCCAACCCTGCCACAGCCTCCAGGTTCCCCCTCTCCTGTCACCCACCCAGCCTCAGGGTCTGCCTTCCCTTCTCCCCAGAGCAGTCAACTATGCAGAAAGTTTTTCAAATGAAGTGCATTCCTAAGAAACAGCCCGGGAGTCCTGCCTTTGACTGCTTTTCCCCTCTACTCAGATCCTATAAGGAAATGCCAAAGGAGCACGCAGATAGGGCTACCCCCCCCCCAGCCCACCTCCCTGCCTCCTGTTTCCTGGATCCTTGTCACCTTCCCTAGAGGACTGCAAGAACGTGGAGGGCAAGACCAGACACAGTTCATCTTGTGTTCCTAGTGTGTCCTACCCAAGTGTCAGAACATACCTGGGAGTGGGGGTGGAGGCAAGAGGCAGGACCATGAGAGCATTTGTCATGGACATGAGTGAGGAGGAACCACCGGAACGTCAAACTTTCCAGATTACAGTTCTCATAGTATCACTGTAACCTTCCACCTACTCAGGCAGGCTGGGAGGTTTGTATCATCTCCCCCCACACACACTGCTTGGGGTGGACAGTAGGGTTTGTGACATGAGGTGGTGGATTTTGCTTCCAGCACAGGGACTCAGAAGACCCCTCTTGGTCCTTCCCAAACAATAACCTTATAGCAATATAATAAAGGTAATTCTACCTCTTATCACAGTTGGCTGAAGCGAATTGCTGTCATTTTGGTGTGACAATGGAGAGGAAAGATTAGGACAGGGTATTACTAAAATGTCTCACACATGACCATATTTGGTTTCTTTCTGTTTTGTTTCTACAGGTCTGTCAGCAAGACTGTTGAAAGCTTAACTGGCAAAGATGCCGGTCCCTCCCCCTCCAGCGCCCCCACCACCACCCACCTTTGCTTTGGTGAGTCTCACCCCCATCCGTTAGTGATGCTTGGACCAAGCCAAGTAAAGTTACACCTGGCACACTATTTGTTTTGAATGTATTCATGTTCTGACCAAAGTTTGGCATGGTGAGCTTTCCAAGTACCAGAGGAGCCAGCCCCTGTCTCTATAACTCCCACTAGTGGGGTTTTGTGGTCTGAAGTCTCCTGTGCACAGAACTCTGGAGGAAGGAAGGAAGGAGAATTGGGTTTCCTCTGTGGTGCCCATTGGGGGGGATGTCCTGCTTTTTGCCACACACCAGCTCCAGGAACACTGCTTCCCTGCAGCGCTGTCTCCACATTGATGTAATTGTTAGCCCTTAACTTTTGGGCAGAACGAACCAGAAACTCAGGACTCTGCCTGAAAATTCATCCATTAAAGTGTCCTCAAGGCTCACTCTTGTCTTTTTAATTTCATTTTCTCTCTTTCCATCCCTCTTCTTCTTTGCCTCTTCTTTCTTCCCTCTTCTTCTACTCCGATTTGACAGTTATCAACCCACCACCGCTGCCACCCCCACACACATACTCAATCCTCATTTAAATCTTTTAGTGCATTTAAATGTCTCCTTTACAATAAAATGTCTTTACTGAGCTCGTCTTGATGCTTTGACAGCTCTGTCCTCAGAAGTTAGTCACCCTCTTTTGGAAAACCCTCCACAGGGTGATTAAATCTCTTAGACACCCCAGTACAAGGCCTTCTCTTGCTTGTGAGACTTTTGCTATAAAGGAGCTTTGTAGTAATGAGACTTTCCTATTTCATTTGGGGATCTGAGGCCCAGAGAGGAAATCTCTTGCCCAGACTTCTAGAGGACAACTTGGCATAGCCCACCTGAGATTGGAAGCCAGTCGGAAAAACACCATGAACTGGTACTCAGAGTATGGGCCTCCAGCCTCCTCTTGCAATCTCCAAGGAGAGGGATATAGACTTGAGAGTAAGCACTTAGAAATACAGCAATTTGGCTTTAGTGTTTTATGTCTGTTGTTTCTAAGATTGTATTTTGTGTGTCTTTTTTTTTTAACCAATTCACATTTCTAGTAATAAAGTATCAGTTCATATATGGATTGGAATTAAAAAAAATAAAACTTCCTCAAATAGATAAACTTGGAAAGTTCTTTGTTGACTAACATAGCAAGATTAGTTTCTTTTTATTTCACAAAAAGTGCCAGTTTTATACTACTGCCGGGCAGTCAGTACATAGATTAATTTTTTTATTTTAATGTTCATGTGTTTATTTTAATGTGTGTTCCGAACTAGCATATCAAACATTTATAACTAGCACATCAAACCCAGAATTTAATAGTGAGAGTTCATGTGAAAAAACAAACTCACTGAAAAGGTATTATAAATGATATAGTGAGTTTATTTGATGAAAACTATTAAATAAACAATAACACAAGTAGTATCAGAAAAGGACAAAAGTCATGAAAGTCATACCAGAATGACTAAAGTTTGGGAAACTCTGGTTTATCCTATCAGCTCACTACTAATAATTATTATCTGACTAAACGCAAGATCCTAGAGAAATAGGACATAATGATGAAAAAAGGATGGGTTGGGCCTAGGGCACTTCCTACTGGAACATCGCAACCAAGGCACCGGCTGCCATGTGAGAGCAGTTAGCATCGGAGAGCTCAAGCGTCCAAATGAGTTTTCAGGCAGCTCTGGAGGCTTGTGAAACCTGCTTACCCCAGACCGATGGCCTATCTAAAGTGACATAGCTTGACCTGTCTGGCCCTCAGGCTTATTTCATACTTAAAATGAAGGCAGAGGCCCTCCCTGGTGGCGCAGCGGGTTAAAGCACTGCACTAAGAAGCTTAAGCCACTTCCACATGAGTTCGATCCCCGCCTGCCCCGGAGGTGACCACATGGTGTGGCAGACCTCTCCTGACCCACCCGCTGCTCCCCTCAGCAGTGTACTTTGTCCATCTGCCTGTTCTTCACCCCACTCTGTCCCTGGTGAATTCTCTCACCCTCCGCATCTCTAGTCTGTCTCCCAGTTCTGTATGAATAAATAAATAAATAAATCTTTAAAAAAAAAAAACAAAGGCAGAAATCGGGCCCTCCCTGGTGGTGCAGCAGGTTAAAGCACAGCACTAAGAAGCTAAAGCCACTTCAGCATGAGTTAGATCCCTGCCGCCCTGGAGGTCAGGCAGACCTCTCCTGACCTGCCCACTGCTCCCCTCAGCAGTGTACTTCATTGTACTTCGTTACTCTGCCTGTTCTGCTCCCCACTCTGTCTCTGGTGACTCCTCTCACTGCCCCTGCTCCTCTGGCCTGTACCCCAGTTCTGTATTAATAAATAAAATCTTTAAATAAAAAAAATGAAGGCAGAAATCTCTGTCCAAAATTCTCAAGGTATGTAGGTAAGGAGCAGATCCCATTAGCAAAAGCAAGCTGTATATGCAGAGAGCATTTCTGGAGGGATTGCTGTAAAACTCTTAATAGATCTGCCTCAGCGAAGTATTAGAGAATGGGCATTTTAGATCCCGCATTTATTCTTCTGGAAGGTTCTGGTGTCAGATTGCCAGGGTTGAATCCTAGCTCCTCTTCTTACTAACTGAGTGACTGGAACAAATGATTTCACCTCCTGTGCTTCGTTTTCCCTGTCTCCAAAATGGAAATAATGACTCACAGGGTTGATGAAGACTAAATGAATTAATATACTTAAAATGCTAAGAAAGTGATTGACTCATAATAAAAGCTATATAGATGTTAACTGTTACCATAAACAAGGAATAAATTATAACTTAGTTATTTCAAGACCTGCCAGCTTAATACATAGAAATGCCACTTTGCTAATTGAGGGTTTTCCTCTTCCTCTCCCTCTAACTCACATAATAAATAACTAGGTAAAGGTTGAGTGTTCCTGTGACATCAGATCCTCTAAGAAGGGCTGGGGCCAGCCTAGGACTGTTGGGGCTGTGGGAAGGACCTCTAGGCCGAGGGGAAGCCAGCTCTGTCTGGGACCAGGCCGGAACAAGCCAGTTTCCAAGTGTGGCAGAAACAGGCCACACTTGGCCAAGCATGTGCTGCTTCCCAGCCTTATGCTGGGCATGTGGTGTGCCACTCCCTAAAATAACCCTGACATAGTGAAACCCTAACTTCTTAGTAAGGATCTCTCCTAGGACTTCTGGAAATAAAGGTTTTTCTCTACTATCTAACTGATTTGATTTGGTGGGTTATAATACTTTGGCTTGGGAATGCAATTACCATTTACATATGGAGAGTTTTTGAGCATCCCCAAATCAAAAAAAAAAAAAAAAAGTGTTGGGAAAAACTGTATAAAAATAGGCCCTCCCTGGTGGCGCAGCGGGTTAAAGCACAGTACAAAGAAGCTTAAGCCCCTTCCGCATGTGTTCGATCCCCACCTGCCCGGAGGAGACCACATGGCGTGGCAGACCTCTCCTG